TACGACTTTAAGCTCCTAAATTTGCTTTTATTTGTCTTCAACATGATTAGAGGAAATATGAGAGATCTATCTCCTCTAGGAGATGGGTGGTGTCTGAGGAGAGGGAAGCTTGGAAGACTCTGCTGAGGCTGCATGCCCTGCCACCTGTTCCCAGATGAAGCCGACGAGTAATAAAAGAGCTCCAGGCTAACACTGTCCCCTAGCTAAACCTATGCATTGTGAACATTTTAGGAATTTATTTCCAGTTTCCCTGTGATACGATTCGGCTGGTTTCACTCCATAGTAGTGTTGGCATGATGGTTAGAGCAGTGCGCTTGTGCTCTGAGAAGGTTGCAAGTACCCGTTTCAATCACAGCCTGCACTCTGGGTCCCTGAGCAAGACCCTTAGCCCCACACTGCTCCCCGGGTGCCACACGATGGCAGCCCACTGCTCCCTGAGAGGATGGGTCAAATTCAGAGGTAAATTTCTCCAGCGTGAGATCAATAAAGTTTTATTATTTTTATTATACATGTCGACTGCTGCTGACTACCAGATGCTTTTTTGGACATAATTTTAAGTCTGTGGCTCATGAATGAGGTGAAAGAGACGCAGTGATCTCTATCAGATCGGCTGAATGGGACTATTACCTAGATAGAGGCTTTCAATCCATGACAGAAATGATGATGAAGTCAGAAAAAGGATCAGAGGCCATGAGACCAAGTTGCTTACCTGTGAAGAAGCAGTGGAGGGCTGAAGGTATTCACTCGGACTAACAGCAACAGTGGCCATACTGTCGTGTTGTTCTGGAAAACACAAAGCAGAGTCAGAGGAAGGCTGCCTACAGCACCTATGATTAATTCCCTCCGATGGAGTGGATTTTGTTCCACCGCGGCTCCAAGCAAAGATCATGTTATGTAAATTGAAATTTGAAAGAAAAAAGACAGAAATGAAACTTTAAAAAATGTCTTTTTAGAGAAAATGCCTGAGAGGAACTTTGCCGTTTCCTAAGATTTCATTTTTGTTATTGCAAAAACTGCTAACAGAGGATGTAAACTCTCCAGGTGCACAGTTTTATATTGTTATAACATTTTACACTACAGTATTTTATTGTTTATTTTTTAACTCTTCACTATTATGTTATTCTTATACATTTTTCTAAGGTCCACCTTTGTGTGATCCTTTTTTTCTCTAATTTTCTGCTGCTATAAACACCAGACTCTGGGACAATAAAGGGATCTTTCTATTTTTCTATTCTACTCTAAACAAATAATGGACATGATCAACTGTCTATTAATGGTTTATAAGATTAAAATTTTATCCGTCTGAGGGCGACGCTGTTTATTCTTAAGCGGAGCCTCACCGGTAGTTGCATTAGAGGTAATGCAGCAATGAGGCATGCTAGAGGAACAAGAATGGATCCAGAGTCTGTTCGTGTTTCACATATTTTCCTGATGTTTTTAAAAAAAATTAACCTAATAGGTTCCTGCTTTGTTATACATATTTTCATATAAATATGCTTAAATGTGTTCTATATGGTTTATTAATATACAAGGAAAGCTTTTTTGTTTATTCAGTCCTTTTATTACAGGCGGCACAATAAACAGTAAAAATACAATAATGTACCGTTTGTTATTTTAATTGATAATATT